CCTTCCCGCCCACCACCCACTCCTCTCTTTCTCTCTCTCTCTCTCTCTCGATCTTCCTCGCTTCGTGTATCGGTTTATCGCACAGCATCAACGACGATACACAGAGCCCGCGCATTCGTTCCCTCACTCTCTCTCTCTCTCTCTCTCTCTCTCTCCCTCCCTCTCTTTCTCTCTTTCTAGTACCTTGCGGATTTTCCCGAATTTCGTGTCCGTACGTGTTCCCTTCTCCCACTGGCCGCCCTCCCGGTCGCTCGCGCGCCCTTACGCCCTACGGGAAATCGATTTTTCGACGGCAGGGTCCCCACTGCCGGCTGCAGCGGCGGCGGCAGCGGCGCCGCCGGTTACGGAGGGCTCGCGACATTTTTTTTTTATTTTTATTTTTTTTCGGCGACCGCGTTTCTCGCGCACGCATCTCTCGCGCGAACGATTGCCATTGGAACCTCGAGGGGGAGTGAGGGAATGAGGAAGGAAGGGGGAAATGTATGTACCGAGTACGCGCAGCTTCTCGCGTCTCTAGATGCGCTTGGATCTACTTCGCACATCTTTGCGCGTAGGTTTTTAATTAGGTGTACATCGCGTGAGAGAGAAAAACTCTGTCGCGTTTTTATCTTCTTTATCGCGGGTCTCGAGTCGTCGGGACGCACGTGGATTCTTACGTAAACCGATTAGTTCCGGAGGAACTGGACGGATCAGATACGTCAAAAGTTATTAAACCTAATATCTAATATAATATAATATTATTAAATCTTATCTAATATAATCTAATACATTTCGGGATTCATGAATTTGACATTGCGCAAAAAAGCACACATTTTTAATGTTTTAAAATATAAAATTAATAATTAATTTATGGATTGAAGTAAAGATTTAACCTGTAGAATATAATTTAATTTCAAAATCGTAAATTCTTTATAATAAATAACTGTACAATAGAAAAATTCATGTGAAAATAAAGATTTTAATTCTAAAGAGCAAATCTTTACTTTAACTCACAAATCAATTATTAATTTTATATTTTTTAAAAGGCTAAAAAATATTTGCTTGATGTGTGCAGGCAATGTCAAATTCATGAATCGCGAAATGTATTAGATTTATTAATTTTTGACGTAACTGATCTGTCCAGATCCTCCTTATAAAGCATGTTGCACACTATAATAGCTTTCGATTTTTTACGCGACTTTCGACTCTTCTGATAAAATTCCGACTAACTTGATCACCGATTAATATTCGTAGAATAATAAACGAGAAATTTTCTAATGATATAATTATCGTACATAATACAATAGAAATAGTATTATTGCTTTTTCCCGTGACTTAATCATCGATTAATCGATGTTTAGTCAAAGCAATCGTGGGAATCGATTTGTTGTCATTAAGTAAAAAGCACCTTACATACATAATGTCCAACATTCTTTTATATATATATAAAATGTGCATAGACCTTAAGTCTTCTTTCCTGGATCCACCAAGTCTCTAAACTTTCTAAACACGCGCGAGAGAATGCGACTTGTCGGTCGCGAACGTATGTTATTATGTCATTTCGCGCGGATAAACAAACGGGAGTTTGTCGCTCGACGATTCGATATCGAAGAGGATCAATGGACAGATAACGATTCTAAATTTAGAGCAACGTTCCGACTATCGGGAAGAGGAGTACATAGTCAAAATCAAGGGCCAGATTCTGACGCTTTGTGCGCGCGCGAAAGCGATAGCCGTGTTATTTCACACGTGACGAAAAGGAGAAAAGTCGGCCCGTGAAGCCACCTTACGCTTGACCGCGCGTTCGATTTTATCGGATGGTGGCTTTTTCACGGCTTATCGAGTCGGAAAACGACGGCTGTTCGCCTATTTCCCTATCGTACGTATTCTTTCCGCACACGGATACACCAGAGTTTCTTCGACTTTCGCCATCGATATGAAACTATTATGCAATTATATATTTTATATTAATAATGAATTTATTGTTAGATTATATGTAACAAATTTCCTTATATGTTGATATATATATATATATATATAGTATATATATATACATACTCATATACCTGAACGACGATATGGCGCTCTAAATATATTATATAAATATATACATATTTAAAAAATGGAATTTTTAACTAGCTTGTAAGGTACGTGAATAATTCTGGTCATAATGTTGTAAATATACATGTTATATATAATCTCAGTTCATTATTGATAATTAGCATTTAATTGCGATTACATATTCACGCTTTATATTTTTTATACACTATATTCTATATATGTTATATGTTTTATATACTATATTTTATATATAATATGAGAGAAAGAGAGAGGGAAGGAGGGAGAGAAAGAAATATTTTGAAAATGATATATATATATATATAAAATTGTTATTAATTTTTGTTTAATAAAAATATTAATTATAAAACAATATATTTTTTTAATTTTATAGTATATAAATATATGGAATATAGTGTATAATCATATTAATCATATAACATGTATAAAATATAGTGTATAAAACATACAACATATATAGAATAGTAGAAAAAATATAAAGCGTGAATATGCAAGTGTAATTAAATGCTAATTTTGTTGCATTTTTATGTTTATTCATCGATCGAATAAATAAATTAAATAAACAGATTAAATGAAATATTGATTAATATTTAAATATCATATGGATTTGACGAATCAAACACAATCTTTATAAATAGAAAAATATCTTTCGTTCAATTTTAATAGAAAATGCAACTTATTAGCAGTACCCACCTACGTAGTCAGAAGTCACTTATTAATGCAACGTAATATTGATTCTTGTATCAATACCAATAATATTTATATCTATCTATTCATTCTTATTTCGCTCTAAAATCCCTCCCCCCTCCC